CCCCAAAACCCCAAAACCCCAAAACCCCAAAACCCCAAAACCCCATATTAGATTATTAATTCAAGTATGGAAGAACATACACCTGCTTATGTGTAAAATTTGGTTGCTAACTCTGTAGAACTGTGAGCAATATGCTGACTGATATCTCCCAACTAGAGCCTTTCGATGTTGCCGGATTTGACGCTGATCACACTCTTGTAAAATACAATGTCAAAGCTCTCAGTACAGTCAGTTTTAACAATTTTTAGCAAAAATGATAGATAAGATCTACATGAGAGTCATTACAGAAGATTGTGAGGGATACCCAAAAGACATAGCAGATCTTTATGATGAAGAGTTAATTAATTTCAGCTTCAACGGAGCCACATTGGATATGAATACAGGCTTGCTTGTCAAGATTTCTGAAGACAAGAAAGTCATCGCCGCTTACAGAGGATTTACAAAATTACCAGGTTTGTTCGGTCCATAAAATTTCATTTAGATACTGAAATTGAAGAAATTTATGGAAAAGACAGGATCTTCAATGAGGAATACTCTGTTTGGCATTACAGGAGTTTGGATAAGGGATATCTCGGATTCCACTCTTATTTTGACTGCCCTGTGATTAGTCTCTGAGCGAAGCTTTTTGATCTGAAAACACAAGGGAAAATAGACAAGACTAATGAAGAAATTTTCAATGATATCAGAACCTGAATCATCAAAAGTTATGTACATTATGATGCTGAGAAATGATATAAAGTAAGCCCATCCCAACTCATTTTAGATCGCTGATTACGGATATTTCTTTACAGAGATAATCAATGACACTGAGAAATATATCCAAAGAAGGGAGGATTTCAGAGAGATGCTAATCAAACTTAGAGAAGCAGGCAAGAAAGTGTTCATTGCTACCAACTCACATGCTGAATACACCAATTTGATAATGACAAGGTCAATCGGTGATGACTGGAGAAGCCTGGTCGGTAAGGTAATCAATCACCACTAGATTTCACTGCAAGTCATTGTGGGAAGCCAATCTTTTTCAAAGAGATCCATGGCACCAGGAAGTTCTTCAGGTGTGATTATGAGTCAGTTAATCTCAAGGGAAAGGAATGTGATGTCGATGATCTTGGTAAGGGAACTTCATCATTTTTAGAGGAAACCCATACATATCTGGAAGGCAACTGTAAAGATCTTGAGGAATATTTCAAGTAATCTTATGTTTAACATATCTAGGAAGTTAATAGACAAGGATGAGATCAACTTCGCCTTCTTTGGAGACCACTTCATCACAGATGCAGCAATCTCTGACTTGCACAAGAATTGGAAGGGAGTAGCCATTATGGAAGAGCTTAATCATGAGCAGGTTGAACAAACCGACGAGTCTCAACTCGTTGGCTATGAAAAGTATTGGGGATCCTTCTTTGGAGGTGAGATCAATGGTGAATGGCACAAGAACGCCTGGGTAAAATTCGCTGAGGAGCATACTTCCTATGTGCTACCCTTACTTGGAGACCTCAAAAAGTTATTGGATAAGTAACTTTCAATATCAATATTAGCACGGGGTTTTGGGGTTTTGGGGTTTTGGGGTTTTGGGGTTTTGGGGTTTTGGGGTTTTGGG